GGATACCCGTATGTACTAATCTGGCTGCCCTCAGAGCGATCCATAGAACTGACTTATTATCTAGCGGAACATGGTTTTATCTACCCTTCTGTGAAACTCAAATGAGCTTCTTGTCTAATATGCTCTGATGATCGCCACGGTGCAAATTCAGAAGTATACTTCCTCACGTAACCCTACTTGTTATCCGGCGTTTGTGGGACGTTGCGTTTTTGGATGTATACCATAAAGACCCAATCGAATGATGTACGCTCGGTAACGGGAGTTATAGACACCTTCGGATTTGGATGAAAAGACTGTCCTTTAAATGAAGCGCTTTGAATGTTCCACTTCTCTGTGCCTAAATTTAATCATTTATATTTCACCCACGTCTGAAATCAGACTGTACCAAATACATCATGGTACAATAATCTTTATAAAAAATGAAAAACGTTTCATAATTTACAAATCCGTTCCCAAATAAATTGTATGGGTTTCATCTTGTTGTGATATTTTTTTCTTTGGGATATTATCGCGATTCATGTGGTGCAAAGGAGGCATGCCAATCGCATCAAACAGCCGAGGAAAACAATCCAGTGCATTGGCGGTCTAACTCCCCATCACGCAGCAAGTGGAGCGGTAAAAGAGGAAGCGGACCAATTTTCCTATATCTTAACTATCGGACGACGAAAGTGTCGGCACGCATACATAAGACACGAGTGGCATTTGCCAACTTGACACATCTCTGGCACAGTTACTATATCCGGCTGTCTGAATAGTCGAGCGTATGCTGCAGTCGTTTGACCAGTTCCGCTATACGGCGCAGCGACCTGACCATCACGAAAACAGGACAACGGTAAACTGTCGTTGTTCGAACACCGTTGTGCATGCCGCTTTGCACCAGTCTGATGGGGAAACGAACAGCCAATACTAAGGTGGTCGACCTTAGACTACTTTGGTTGGGGCATGTGTTACGCATGTTACCAAGTAGGGTACCTCGGCGAGCTTTGTTTCCGGAGGCAGGCGTTGGGTGGAAAAAAATTAAAGAGTGGTTAAACTCAGGCTTGAAAATCCTAACCAGGAGACTTGCTCACATATGTTGCGTTACGTTTCGTAATGGGAAACCTCAGGATCAGTGTAATTGATGGTTCGAGACTAAGGAGTGACTCTTGTCAGTGTCCACTCAATTTCTTCATGAACTCTTCACTTTGACACTGCTTTCGGCATTCTAATCTTCCCTCTAGCTTTCGCCTAAACGGCGACAGCAACCAAATTGGCACGAAGACGATATCTGAATAATGCTTGTCCAAACGAATTGTCTGTTCATTGCTTATGCTATCAGTCCGGCTGGAACAACAGTACCGGACAAGTCTGAATTAGTAGTAATATTCATTGTTTCAAACGTTTCAGGCATTCAGGTTTACATATACCGCATCATCGTACAATCAACATCTATGTATCTGTTTCCTCCCATTTTCATTTTACTCCTCTGTACCTAATCCTATCATTTATATTATCTTTGTTGGCGTGTTGTCATCGTTTTTTTCTTCAAGCCTGATATATATATATATATATATATATATATATATATAATATCCGAGCAATTGTTTTCGCCCGTAAGTTTACCAAAATTCGATTCACTTGGGTTCATTTTGTGCATCTAGTTTACGTGACCAGTACTTTTATTAGGAAAAACAATAAAAAGAGCACCCACTATTCAC